CATGAATCAGGGGTTGACATATGGGATGACAATCCATGTGGATTCTATGGGTATAACTTTTGCATCAGGGGGCTGCTCTTTATATTACACGCAAATACCCACCCCTGAAATGCTCTGTCCTCTGTGCCTCACTTGAAATGACTTTGTTGAAGCCCTTTGGGGCCTTTCTACCCCAGCTCAAGGTGTTATAGGCCTGTTCACCTTGAGGCAAGTACTGTGCCCAGGTATCCCCCTGCTCTACTTACCTTCTCTTTTGGAGGTTCACTAGGCCATCTGTTCATGAACAGCAGGAAAATAGACCTTGTCTTCTCTGTGGTGGTTGTCCTTGTTGGTGGGCTTGATCCTTACTTTTTTTCTTTTTTGGGGGGCCCCGATCCCTGGTGGGCCAGTTTCATGGAGGTGTGTGTTTCTGTTCATTTTATCCTTACCCAGTCCTTTGCTATCCTTTCTCTTAGATTTAGCTGTCAGCAATTGTCTCCTAACTGAGGATACTTGAAGGAAGCCCTCCAAGAAAGGATTTCATTGTCCTTTTTGTGTCCTTCCTGGGCATGGGCAGACTAGTCACTCTGACCAGTTTTGTTTTGTGTTTTTTTTTTTAAGAATGTCTTTTTATTTCACTGTTGATTCTTCCCTCTCTCTTTTCCTTCATAAGAGGCTAAGAGAAATGGTTTGTTAAGGAAATAAAAATCTAGGAAAGATCAGCATGGTCACAACTCTTCCTTGTAATGTAAGCACTGATAAAACGCTTCCTGAACTTCAAACGACCTGGCAGGCAGCGTGTGCCTCTGAGGCTGCTGACTGAAGCAGCTGCTCTACTCGATGCTTTTGAGGCGCTTCTTACGAGGCTGCACAAAGTCATCATCCGAGTCATCACTGAACTTGCTGTCTTCCAGGTCGTTCCTGAATTCAACCTTGGGAAATCTTTTCTCTGGATAAAGGTTCTTTAGAAGTTCTTCAAAATAGGTTTCAAGTTTTATACCAGCATTGGCTACTTCTGAATCAGGCTCATTGAACTCAGCACAGTTTTGGAAGATCAATCTAAAGTCAGCTACAAAATCTTCAGGTTTTGTATACATGGAATAATCTTCTTGCAGTCTTTTCTTGATGGTTGACAAGTCCATTGGATTTCTGATTATTTTGTAATAATCAGGCACAGTGAGAGGAACTGGGTCTTGAAAAGCCAGGCTCATTTCATGGCAGTAAAGAAATAAAAGTAGCCGTTCACACTTCCGCTTGTCTGTTGGTGTCAGCTTCCCGAAGCTGTCACTTTTCCTCTTCTCTGGGTTGTGACTGGGAGAATCACAATCGTATTCAACTTCTGGTTTAGATAAGTCTCGGCAGAAAGTGCAAATCCACTCTCCACTGGGGAAATTGGCCAGAGTGGGCACGTGGCAAGAAAGGTGGAACACCTTGGGACACTTCTCACAGCACAGGAGCTCGCCTTCGTTCTGACACACTGCACACCAGTCCTCGTTGGGGTCGTCCTCTTTCCTTGTGTCTCCGGCGTGGAGAGGAGACTTCTGGCCAGCGTCTAGCCACTTGGACTTCCCACTGGAATCTTCCTGGTGGAGCCCAGGTTGGTCCCCTGTGCTGTCCGGAGCGTCAGATCTGGGTGTGGCCTCTTCTGAAGCAGACCCTTGGCTGCTGCTCAGTAGAAGGGAGGTGAGGATGCTTCGGGGATAATTGGTATTTTGAGGCCTGGAGTCTTCATCTGATTCTTGCTTCACTATAACCACAGGGAAATCATAGTTCTCAGGTGGTCCACTGTTCTCTTGTTTTATTCGGATTGGTTCCAACATTACTACTGGGAATTTGTGTGTCGAATCCGCTCCTGTGGGTTTGCTAGAAGAGCCAGAGCTTCCTCGGCTCCCAACGCTGGAGGCACTAGGTGAGCGTATTGGGGAGTGGACGCCAGTCATAGTGACAGGTCCTGCCAGGCCAGGGGATGGCACTGAGGAGTTGGGTGACTGCACGGTCCTGTTGGAGGGTGGTCTTGGCTGCCCGTGGTCGACATTGGTATCTTTCCGCACAAGGTTGTCCAGCATAATAGTACTTGAACAATCAATATCTGGGAGGGAAGAAAGATTGTAAGTTGCTCCCACTGGGGAGCTTAGGTCAATCACTGGGGAGCCGAAAGCTTTTCCATCGTAGGCCGCTGCACTGGTGATGGTGGGGCTGGAGGGGGTGGAGGACGTGCTGCTGGCTGTTGATGGGGCGGCCTGCCCACTGCTGACCTGCCACTGTTTTATGGCTTGCTGCGCCAAGAAAGCGCTGATCTGTGTTGGGAACTTGGATAACTGGTTTGAAGATAAGCCACCTGGTGGCTGTGGATTCGGCTCCACCACAGGATTCTGCTTAGGGATTTGTGGCTGGCTCTCCTTATCCTCGATTACTAAAGAACCTAAATTGATAATATTTTGAGCCCAGAAGCTAGGATCACAGTGAAATTGGATGGTGTTGTTGGTGGCTGGGGACACATCACACCTGGCTCGAAGGAGGTGCCGTAACCGGTATGTAATCAGGCGCTTGCTGTAAAGCAATGCAGTGCTGCTTCCGCTGGAGACAGCCCACTTGGAGAAATGCATGACATGCTCCAGCTGTTTAGAAAGTCCACTCACTTCCTGCTGCTGCTGCATGAGTTTCATGCGATGGTCTTTTGCAAGACTCTGAAAT